CCGCTCATCTTCAGCAATAACTTCACTTTGGAGTACAATGAGTGCAGTCGTATGTGCAACTACACCCCACTATTGTCTGGAAGCCAGTTGCCACCAGATGCCAATCTTTTGCTGTTATTCCCAGCATTTGACTTCACACTGCTCGGTGCCACTTTAGCAGTTAATATTGTGTCTTTCACTAGCATTCAACGATACTCCCGGAAACGCAAACTGCTCTCAGAGGGGTGTCTGACTGACAGACAAGGAGGGTGCCCTCACAGGCCCTCATTTTCAGACATCAAAGCTGCCAAGACAATTGGCATATTAACGTTCGCCTTCACTGCATCCTTCTCCCCCATAGCAGTGTTTGTGCTTGGAAATGCGGTGGGGTACACTTGGTGTAACTTCTCCTTTGTTGCCTTTTGGATCTTGACAGGAAACAGTTGCTGTAATGTCATTATCTACAGCGTTGGGGACCGCCGCTTTAGGAAGGGTGTGACACTGGTCTTTCAGCGAGATCAGTGCTCTCCTCCAAGGCGAGAAGACTTGATGGATACAGGAATTCATTCAGTAACAAAAAGCTTAAGTTTTGCGGTTGCCATCCATCAGTTTGACTTTAAAGGAAGAGTTTGACATTTTGAGCACTTTGCTTAATCACTTTCTGATGGAGAAGATACATGTCACTCTCACATTTGTAATGTAAATATGAAGGTGGAGCCCACAACTGGTTAGCTTAGCTTAGCCAGAAAATGGGGGAAACACCTAGCCTGGTTCTGTCCAAAGGTAACAAAATCCACCTCTGAAGCTTTATGTTACAGCCAGGAGTAGCATCCAGGCAACAATTCCTGAAAATTATTGTCCTGACTAAAAAATGTCCAGCTGTTTCTAGTCTTTATTCTCAGCTAACTAGAAAACAACTGTAATTCTTTGTTACTGACAACTGCAAACAGAAACCAATTTTACAGTTTTTGAAAGCCAAACATAATTTTCTTTTGACAAACAAACCTACATGCATTGCATAACAAAACAGCTTTCAAGATCTGGTCAAACATACAGTACGTACTGGTCTGTAGAAAAAGGACCATCATCTTAACAAACTGCTGATCCTTGTGGCTACTCTACTGTGAAACAATCCACAACCTGTCCTCTGGTGTGCTCGTCTTCCCTTCCTCTACTTGCACACCCCTTTTCCTTAAACTTAAGGGTTTGTATGAGCCTTTCGATAACTTCAACAACAAAATCTAGCTTCTATGGAAGCCACACTAACCGCTTTTTCAATTTAATTTGTTTGGTTTCTTATTGATCAGTTGTCAAGTGATGTTTCTAAGGAAGCAGTTCATACCATAGATCTGATTCTGTGGTGTTACATTCAGCAAAATAGCAATTAAGCAAAAGGACAACAAAGTCAAGGTACTGGAGTGGCCATCACAAAGCCCTGACCTCAATCCAATAGAACATTTGTGGGTACAATTGAAAAAGCGTGTGCGAGTAAGGAGGCCTACCTGACTCACGCTGCCACAGCTCTGTTGTGTGTAGAGCACTGTGTCTAACAAAGTGTGTTAACCGTACAGTTAATGTCATGTCATGTTTAAACAGCTTGTGACTGAAAACATCTGTAGGAATGATCCAAAGTGTTTTGTATTGTAGAAAGGATTCATCAAGGAAAATACAAATTCAGTCCCTTATATAGTACATGAGCTATAGACGGACAGTAAAGCCTAATTTGCAATTAAACAAAAAGCAGGGATGCTGCTTATTTGTTAGTCAGAATCATTTAAATGTGACGTGGGGATACTGTGTTTGATTTATATTGCTCAGCCTTAGTCTTAGAGTTTTAATTAACTTAGGACATGTATATAGAAGTGAATGTAAGGGCTTTAAACAACAAAGTGGTGTGTAAATAAATGTCCCTCTGTTTTCAGGATAACAGCAGGTCCACCTTGAATTCTACTGTATATTAGACTCTGTGTCTCTATAGCTATATCCCAAAACAACAAAGACACACACGCACAATGACGCCACCAGCACCTACATTGTAGGTGACAGGTTAGAGCATTTTGGAGCCTCAGCAAGGTTATGCATTGTTGTCTGTCCCATTTCTTTTTTATCCTCTCTCATTGTCCTAATGAATTTTTAATTGTTTCTCTAAAGGCACTTAGGGCAAGAGATGTGTGCCAGAAACAATAGAGCCCAGAGACAACCTGTGGCTGGTACCTGTTTTTGGCTCAACAGAGGAAAAGGACAGAAGCGGAGATGGCTCAGAGGGGTAATGGGGGTCGTTTTGTGAGCAATGCCGTGCCCTTTATGGAGCAAACAAGCCACGTGCACTCTAGTTACTAGAAAATGCAGATCTTCCTCTGACAATTAAAGCAACGTGTACAAAGTGGAAGCATGCAGAAAGGGGATCCTCTGACTCTAGTTCAGCTCTACATAATAACTAAACATGCATTCTTCCAAATTCTGTCTATGACTTGTCATATGGTCACCTCCATGGTTTGATCGCCAGGGATAAGACCACTTTAAACACAACTTGTTATTGTGTAAAGTAAAGGCCAAATTAAAAAAGCAAGTTCTGACTGACTTGAAGGTTTAAACTTTTCTCTACAGTGCTTGGAAAATGATGCATTTAACAGTATTTTGGTTTATCACTGTCTTTCTATTTCTTACCTTGGCATTATATGATTGCAGACATCCTTGGCAACACTGTAATTCCCTTACCATTTATAAGCAGTGTAAGAACATTCAATGATACAGTGTCATGGAGATGAAGCACTACAGTTACTCTTAAGTTGCTTTGTCAAAAAGGCACTTCTGTATTTTGAAATAAAAGGGTCACAAATAAAATATACTAAAATGGATACAACTTATAGAAAATAGAAACTTGAACAAGACTTTTTTGATGCATGTTGTTGTATACACACCCTCCCATCAGTGGTAATCAGTCTGGGCAGTGTGGTGTGTTGTTTATGGCTCTGCCTGCCTCCATCACACCTGTGACTGCCTCTAGCCAGAGGCATAACCTGCTCTCATAACCAGCCATCTGAAGGAGCCTCAACTACTGACATGCACAACTCAAACTAGTTCAGGTCTCAACATGCATCAAGGCTTTTTCCATGATGCCAAATATACTGAATGAATTTACAAAATACAAGCAGACATTGTATAATTCCATCAATAATTCATGATGAGAACAGTAGAAATGTAAACTCCCATGTTTCCTAATGCAAACAGTTCAGTTTTGGGGCATTAACATAAAATAGTGCGTCTAATTCGATCAACTGACATAACTCCCTCATAATTAACATCATATTTTTAAAAATGTACATGAAGTTTTTCCATCAATTGTATCTTACTATGCCAATTTACAGCTAAAAATAACTTCCTATAAACATCCACATAAAATTACATCACCATGAGAATTCAGGAGGAACATTTCCGCCTATTTTGTTGACCTGACAGACTCTCAGCTGTCAGTCCTACTCCTCCTCAAGGCAAACAACCCAGACAGCACCTGCAGCTCTCTGACTTGCACACTCACACAGGATAGGTCATGTCCACACCTTACTGTCCACTGACATACCGAGGACCTGCCACTCTACAATGCATTTTGACTGCATAGTGTAAATGCGGTGTAAAACTGGGAGCCTCTAATAATATGGAGTCTGACCATATAAACATTCAGGCTTCGCTCTGCCATCATGAGGCACTGCAGCTGCTGCATCTGTGTTCCTCTCGCCTCGAGGAGTTGATAACGCTTCTCCTCGATATACAGTCACAATGTTCAGCACACAAACTGTTTAGGGTTAGGATTCTTAATGGCTTATTTTAAGACACGGAGAAAAATCTTCTGCATATTGACTGTATAATGTAATGTAATGGCTAATCCTACATTATCAAAATAAAATCTTTGGGTTCTAGACTGTTGATTGGACAAATCAAACAATATAAATAGATCTTAAAAACTCTGGGATGCTGCTGCTGGCATTAGTTGAAATTTTATTTCGAACACGTAAAAGGAAAACAATCATATAAACAAGCAGACAAAGTAGAAAACAAGAAAGAAGTGAATAAATAAATCAGTTTACATGTTTGAAAAGTCATGTTGTTGTCAGTTCACGATTAATAACTACTCAGCATCCTATTTTTGAACACCTGGTGACTGTCAAACTCTTTCTTCACCTCTGTACCTCATGTCTCTATACTTCTTTTTAAACTGATTTATGTTTGAGCATTGTTTTAAATCTGACTACAAACGGTTTCATAATTTACACCACAAACTGAAATTTTTCATGGTTGTCATCACTGCAGCAGATTCCATGACTCTGGACAGTTTTTGTCAAAATATTTTCAGTCATAATTCAATATGTGTTATTGTATTTGTGTTCGACTAGAGCTTTGTGCAGTATCATCTTCAGTGCGTCCTCATGAAGTTTCTGCACTCGGCCATTTGTCTATGAATATATGTTTTTAGATGGGCAGCGAATAATGCAATGTCAACATCTATGTATGTATTCTGTTTAAGACACTTCCCAAAACACAGGATAACAAACAAGCTTTCAAAATTCATCCAAATAATATAATGTAAGATTTTTTTATTTTTTTAATACACAAGAAAATAGCCTGTATACGTCCGTAAGTGTTGACGGGGTAAGTGTTTGAAAAGTAGTGTCTCTATGCACTTGAGAAATAACAGCTGTTACACTGTAACAAAGAATGAATGTCTGAAATAAAGTTTCAAACACGCTTCGGCTTCTAAATACTGTAGATGTGGCATTGAAGATTTATAACTATTCACTTAGTAACTCTGAAGTGAAGGTACAGCGGATATTGACTGTATTTACTGTTTACACTCTTCACTACCAAGAGTGAAAATACGGTTCTAACTGCCAGTTCAGATGCAGATGGACTATCATAAATACTCATCACAGTTCATTAAAAGTTGACAACCATGTGGCGTGGGCAGAAGAGTTGGCTACTACAGGCGCGGATGAGCCCGGAGTGTCTGTGTTAACATTTACCACCTTTTCCAGCAGGCTCTGCTTGTGAGTCGGCCCTGTGATCTGCTCCAACTGCCTCAGACACGCTGCTGAAACCTTGCTCTCTGTAAACATGGAAAAGGGAGTGAATTGAAATATTTGGCTTGAGAGTCAGAGTCTTGACACAGCTAAAGGAAAAGCAACTGATATATACAGGCAAGAGTAAAAGTTATGGAAACTAGTAGAAGCTTTAGGTCTATGAGAAGCCTGCTGGATAAAATGACTTGCATGTTATTTTCAACACAACTGCATCACGCCTCGCGGAGGTGCATTCAATTACTGTTTGGGTAAGCAGCAAAATCAGGAAACACTTCAATATTAAAATGAAATCTGAAGGGCAAGAAACCTGATCATACAGTTCGTACAAGCCACCAGTTGATTCATATTCAAACATCCACTTAAGGACAGGTCCTGAAATGATGGTATTTCCTTTTGTAGTACTTCAATGTAATGTCCTGTCATACTCACTTAAGAAGCTGTTCTAATTCCAGCTTTATCTTGGTCACAACAGGTGGACCCTGATAGGTCAAAGCCGTGTACAGCTGAACCAGTGAAGCACCAGCACGGATCTTATCCATAGCATCCTGCCCATTGGCCACGCCGCCAATTCCAACAATTGGAACTTTACCTATAACAATATTAACATAAAGTAGGTCTGTAAGTACTGTCTCGATACTGAGGTAATCAGAGATGGCCAGAAAATGAGTAAATAAGCACCTTTAGTGAGGTTGTACATCTCCCTGACAGTGTTGGTGGAGAGTTCTTTGAGAGGCTGGCCACTTAGCCCACCAACCTCAGACTTGTGTGGATCCTGAAGTGTCTCAGGTCTGGATACTGTGGTGTTAGACACCATTAAACCATCCACTCCCAGCTGCAAACACACACACAGACGCGAGGACAGGAAGTAAGTGACATACTATGTAACTACATCTACAGGAGCAAAACTGATGCAAGTGCGTGACACTGACTTTCGCAGACCTCTAATGTGAACTGTGTCAACAATTTAGAAAAAGTGTGGAGTAAAATGCCACAAATGCAAAACACAGGAAAAATTAAATGACATCACAATAAAATTTAGTTAAGAATAAAACTATAAAGTCTAATTAAAGGCACAAAATTAAACGGCAACAACAAATAAGTTCCAACCTCAGTGACAACATCAGCAATGTCTTGCTTGTCCTGAGCAGTGAGGTCGGGAGCAATCTTCACCAGGACTGGAGGTTTGTGCTCTCCCTGCAGGGCATCACGCTGCTTCAGCACCTGAGCAGATTGTATGAGAATGGGAGTGTGTCAAGTGAGGGGGCAGAGAAAGCTACTGGAAACTAGACAGAAACAACATGTGCTGTTTAAAGCTTTAAATTCTTAGGATCAAAAAGTCACTCAACAAAAATACTGGATAGTTAAACTAACAAGCAACTTCACTTCATGTTTAAGTTTGAAAGCATTCACTTAACAACTTTTAAAAATGTTTTTAACCCTGGTTTGCACCTAGAGATGAGACTGTATTTGATAAATCCGAATCCAGTTCCATATCCACTCATCTAGTCCAAATCGTTTTCAATCTCTATTGTGGAGAAAGCGTAATGAATGTGTTACTGTGAATACTACTGCATGGCAACAATTAGTTCAGTAATTAATGGTCAGTTGACACAAAATGAACTGGCATCTGTTTTGATAATCAAATAATTGCTTCAGTCACCTTTCAAACAAAAATGCCAAACATCTGGTGATTGATTTGTTGTTTCTCTTTGTTATATGTGACATCAAATCAAATATTTTTGGGTTTCAAATGGTTGGCTGAAGAAAATCCAAATACATTTTCTGACATTTTACCGAGAAGACAGGTCACTGGGAAAATAACCAGCAAATGAAAAAATAGTGACATTTATTGAATTATGATGTACCACGCATGACAGTGACCTTAGTTCATAATTTAAATGCAAGTTTCAGGCTGAACAATAAGGCCATATGATGAATTTTCATTGTGTTTATTTTTGTGCCGATGTTGGGTCCCGACTCAGTAATTTAACAAACATTCAGGCAGTCATACTGCATGTAGGAGCTGGCGGAGCTCAGCCTTCCCCTGCAGATCCCTGAGACCCGGTGTATTAGGACTGCTGACGTTGACCACCAGGTAGTCTGCCAGGGGGCCCAGCACTCTCACCCCCTCCAAGTAATCTGCCTTTGCATTCTGGGACAGCTTGTTCTTCCCCAGGTTGATGCCCAGGGGAAGGCCAGCTATAAACACAAACACAGGCTGCATCAGACACATGACTAAACTGAGGCAAAGGTGGATGATGTGTTAAATGGGCTGTAAGCAGGTATGGATCAGAAGCAATAAAATGTGACTTAAGGACAGGTCAGGGTCATTAAAACAGAATAGAATATTATTTTATATTCAGCCATAAAACCAATTTACTGCTTGGCTTCTCCAACATGAGCTAAATGACTAGTAAATGTTGATGCATAGACAAAGCAGAACAAAGTTATATCTGAGTTCCTGTAGTAAGAAAATGAAAGTTACTTAATTATGTTTAAAGACAAACTGGTTGTAAATCTGAACACACTGCACGAGTATTTTTTCAAGCTTGATCAGTTATGAGTGATCCACTAGTCTACTCTCTATAGGGCGTGCATGCTAACCTTTCCTTAGCTCTTGCTGTGTTTCTTCTCTGGCCTTCAGGCGCTGCTGTGCGTCTGCCAAACCACAGCTGTTGAATCCATATCTGGACACACACATGCGTACTATTTATTAATATGTAACCTATGTTTCAGTCTAAAAACACTGTGAAAGTTTTCTTTTGTTTAGTAAACTTGGTTTGGAAAACACCGCAAATCAGAACAAGACACATTCAGCTTTTAATGAACATTCTCTTGAGATATTTTTTCTTTTTACAGTGGCAGTTCTATTTTGCTTTACTTAAGCTCTGTGGACAGCAAAGTTGATATTAAAACTAAATATTTTGTTTGCAAAAGTACATGCACATATATGTACATAAACCTTTCTAAATTTTTATTTTTGTTACATAATGCATTTGCTCAAAAGTCCCTTACACACTAACAAATGGATACAGCACTGCCAAGACTATACTGTGTGTATAAAGTAAGTCTAACTTTAAAGCTAAACAATAAACCTAATCAAATGCACTAAATACTAAAATATTAATAGAAAATTTTTGATGCAATATGGAATAATCCAATCAAATTTAGACTCTGATTAACTGTTAAATTGTAGTTGCAGTTCTTTCAGAAAATAAATTACCACACACTGTCATTAGAGCCGCACACTGATAAAAGTAGACAAAGTCAAACATGTTACTTCAAATTAAAACAACAAAGAAAATGAGCTAAACCGGTGCACTTGTATTCTGAGCTTTCTAACTGTGAACTACAGCAACAAATGTGAAGGTGGCATAATTTATTACCATACTGAGCAATGTGAAAAAGAACATTATGTTGAAAAAAATATTTTAAGTTATGAATTGTGACCATAAAGCTGGAAACTCACTGGTAAATTCAGTATCTACATATATGATCCACTAAGCAACAGTTTAATGCTAATGTTACCATTTAGGACCGATGCATCACCTAATAATTAAAACACAATAGAAGTAAAAAAATGTTCATTTAAATTTACATTTTAAGTATAAAAACAACAACAAAAAAGTATTTACACTCAGCACTGTAAACAATACAACAGCAAACTATAGCCTCTGCAGTAAAGCCGAGCCTCTGAAACTGTTAAAAACTGATCATTATAATCTGTGAAGGTCAGACTTCTATGAGAACTATGGTATCACTGCATTCATTTTAGCATGGTGTACCTAAAAATGGTGATAGTGTAGCTTTATTAAAACATACCTATTAATAATTGCATGATCTGTAATGAGTCGAAACACTCGAGGCTTGGGGTTCCCCTCCTGAGGTTTGGGAGTGATTGTCCCTACTTCAACGAAGCCGAAACCCATTTTGTACAAGCCATCTACAGCCTCCCCATGCTTGTCAAAGCCTGCCGCAATTCCAATAGGGTTTTTGAACTTTAATCCCAGGATGCTCACTTCCTGTAGAGAGATATAACAAACAGAACAAAGTCTTCCAGAGTCCATGATCATTCTCATGCTTATGGAAAGCGTCCATATTGAGCGGACATGCCTACCAAAGATGCAGGGTCCTGGTAGAGGTTCAGAGGAACCAGAACCCGACCTATCATCTCACATGCGCTGTCTCTGCCCCCACAATCCTTTGCAGCAGGGGCATCAGCTGGTTGGCATAGAAATGTTCATCTCCACCCACAGTGAGGTAGGAAGCAAAGAGAAGGCTACCTGAGCCGATGATCTTCACTGCATCTTTTAACTGCTTCTGTTGACAAAGGGTTCAAGTCAGATATTCATTACTATGGTAACAGTGTAATAAAAGCATTCATAAGTCCTGCAGTGGCCCCCGTTTCCCCAAAAACCTGCATTTTTTGTGAGGTCTTTTGTTAAATATGTATAGTAACACAAAGGAAAAACAAATTGCATGGCCATTACACAGGTTTGAACACCAAGAAGGTTAACGGGACACCAAAACTGAGCCGGTAAGGTTATTACAGAAATTAATTAGCCTGTGCTTTTCATGCTGTGACGAGGCGCTATGGAACAGATCTACTGCACAGACTTTGTATGCATTTGTTTCAAGTCAGTGAGATTAAACCTGTGACAACTGATGTTTTTTGGCCACAAGATGTGAACATTAAAATATCATCACCTGCTGAGTTACAATAGCAAACAGGTGCTTACTTACACATCCAGTAGGTACCAAGCAAAGCTATCATTCATTTGAGTTGTGTTTATGGCCACAGGACAAAATCACTGTTTGTCTTTACATGCCAATTTGTATTATTTGAATAAAATAAGTGTATAATATAAATGTGCTTGGCAAACTGACCAATCTGGTGTTGGTGATGTGTACTATAGCTCAGTAAGATAAGATAAGAATGATATATTGATTGATACACAATGTCACTGATGCCAACAGAGCACCTTTCAACCAATTTGCCCTGCAGAGTAACTTACACAGTCTACATACAAAACGGGTCGTACACAGATGGTGTAAGCACAAAGACTAAAAGCTGGAGTTGAAAACAGCTAAAAAAATAACTGTGTTTGTCTAAAGAAAAAAAATTAATCTTAGACTTAACTATGTAACTGTCCACAACCAGTCACACATAAAGAAAAAGCCAGACAAATAATTAGAAAATAAAACCAACTAGTTAGTTAGTGTTGAGTGAAAACCTTTACTTCTCTCCTCACTCAATACTATATTCCAGTGTCTTGATAGCGTTATTAAATTACTGAGCAGGTCTATTAAACACAGACCTGGGTAGCAGGAAATGGATCTTTGCTGTGTCTTTCCATATTAACATTACCACACAAACACATACAGGCATTTCATGGTATAACGTTAGTTTAGGTGAAGCAGCCGAGCTAGCAAACAACAAAACGACTGTGACGCCAAGTTGTGCGGTGAAGACAGATCCCAATCTGTAAAACAGAGGATATTATGATGTATCTGAAATTACCTTCAGATGTCCCGCCATGGACGTAGTACTGTCATTGCATTAAAGGGGACTAAATGCATTTCCTAACATGCTATACAAACACACGTGGTCAAAGCTTCCTCCTCATGCTCTCGCGATATTTCCATTCTGGTTATGAATCATGTATCCATGGCATGAATAGTGGAGAAGATGGGACAAGTTAAGGTGTTTCTTAAGAAGTACAATAAAGGCAGGGAATATTTGGATATGTAATTTTATATTTGATGTTATATTTATATTTGGAATATAATTTTAGAATAAGATGTTTATTTTTATTAACACTGTAATTTATACACAATAATAATATACTGTATGTTTTCATATCAACAGCAAATTAAAATTTGAAACCTTTCTTCATAACAAGTTAAACCTTTACCTTGTGTGTCCTTTGGCAGGGTAATACCCAGTGAGTCCTTCCTTCACTTTGCATCTTGTTTGAGTGTCTTCAGAGATTTCCCTAATAAGCTGAGAACATGCAGAGTTTTTCTAGAGACAGATTTCTAATTTCCATGAAACAGACGGACGTAATCTTGCTCAGTTGCTGCTCCAGCCACAGTCTCTGTAGTACTTTAGCCCAGTACATTACAATAACAATGGACCTGTTACTTAAAATGTCTGTCTTTTTGTGGATTTCAGTTGGATTTCTATTTTTACCTGAAAAGTCTGTGGCCTCTGGAGGCAATAACGCACCTGCCATATGTGATTTTGTTTTCAACAATCTATGCTTTGAGTTTGTTGAAGGATCAGAAACCTGGTCCCAAGCCAGGAACAGCTGTGAAAAGCTAGGAGGGGAACTCCTGAAGGTGATGAACAACCAAATCAAAAATTTCCTGCAGAATAACAAGATAGAGACAAACAACTGCAATTTCACATGGTGGCTGGGGAAAGGGCTCCAAGATAAAACCAACATAAGTGAGTAAAATACACTGATACAATATTTAACTTGTTGGTTTGATTTTTCTTTTTATAGTTTATTGTGTTTTTGGCTTGAGATCTCTAAAACTATTTGAGACCTCTTGCCATAGGTTCATGCAGAGTGGTGGATAGCTTGAGGATTAAAAAAAAAGCTTTGATTAGACTGGCTAAAGGTTATTTGAGATTTTAAAATATTTAAAACATTTTACTGTTTCCCAATTACCGGGGAATACCATAAAATAATCTCCTCCAAGGCAGGTTACTGATTTTGTTATGCACAAAGTAGGGCTTGATTAACTTTTTTCATCTAGAAAAATAAGACAAACTTCTCAAATGTATCAGCGTTTATTGTTGTCTTAACACAAGCAGCATTAGAAACACTTTGGCAGAAGTACAGAATAAAAAATTTAAAAATTCTAATTTAAATCAGGAAGTAATTTCTCAAATAATTAAACAATACAAAATCAGTAGAAAAAGAGATATAAATTGTTATTTCTTAATAAACAAGTAACTAGCTTCTCCATGGGCAGCATGATGGTGCAGTGGTTAGCAGTGTTGCCTCACAGGAGAAAGTTTGCATGTTCTCCCTGTGTGTAATTGACAGATTAATCAAAATTTGGATTTAGGTAACACAATATTTGCTCATAGCAATGTCCCTAAATGTAATCTTTCTTGAAGATGTCTCTGCATGTGTATTTATGTGTACACACTTCCTTCCGAAACAGAAAATGGCAAAATGTCAAAGCACAAGTGCACATATATGAAGCTGAATCCTTTTAAGCTCATTGTGACATCTGACTGCAACCAGAGACGAGGCTTCATCTGCACCCACCGTATGTAACAGCAGCCAGCCGCCTAATTGTCACTTTAGTGCAGTCCATCTTTTCCTTTTTCCTTTCTTTCTGTTGTCTTTTCCTCCTTTCTTCTCTTGCGCTCATTACAGCTGAGTGTAATTTTCTGTTTTTGAAATTTCACCTTATATTCACTATTGTTAAAAGTATCATTCTTGTTTTAAAGATTGGCAGCCTTCATCGAACTCAAAGGTAAAATAAACATTTCACAGTCAGTAAGAAGCCATATAGACATCTAGACTGAATTTTTACATTGTTTTTGTTCATTTTCTTTGCAGAATACAATACTGTCCAATCATGCAACTAGACCTCGTAAGTTAGATTGAAACATTGTGCCTCATCATCTAAAGCAACAATAAAAGTGAAGAACATTACAGCCATAAAAATGACTTTAGGTATCTCCTTCTCCTTCTACTTCTCAATTACACACACACTTTTATTTCAGGGCTAAAAAGAAATACAGAAGCCATGGCTGCAAGTATCACAAACATTAGCAGACTTCTTGCGGTGAGAGATGTCTCATTACAGACTGTTTGACTCATGAATCATGAAGTAATGAATAATAGAGTAAAAGGAATTTTGCTAATTATAGATTAAAGTGTGCAAGTGCTGTTTTTTTTGACTCAGGAAGCAGATATAGAACTGCGACGAATGGAAGTGGAACCAGGAGAGCCCACAAATGTTAACAGGGTGTGTGCCTCAGAAATTTTTACATAACTAATATCACAATTTTCACCTCTTTTATGCTGAGAGTATGTTGTAGTACTTTAAATGCTGTCTGTCTTTCCCTTTCACAGGACAATTTCATTCAGTATTTGTTGAAAGGCACAACAAATATATCTCCACAAACACTTTTGCAAAACAAAAGCATTATCCCTCACATCATCAACTATAGCAATGCCATCTTCATACTCTCACAGAAAAAATGTGACATCAGAACTAACCCAAACCCTATAGTAAGTTCAAAAGAATGTGTGACTGTGATACACAAGCAGCCATACACATTTTGTCTGTAAGTCTTTACAGTTAGGTAATGTTCCATTTCCCCCCTGCAGTCTTTGTTTGAGGACATCTCTAAGATCTTTCAGGCAGTCACTGTGCTGTTGGGTTCAGCCACCACAAATTCATTTGTCACCAGTTACCAAAGAGGCACTCTCTACCAGAGCAGGTTGGTATTTTCTCTCATATTACCACTGACCTCATACTGCAGCTCTGTAACCTTTCTTTGCATGTATCCATTAGAAACTGTTATATTCCAAATTTTGTTTCCCTTCCCCCAGTTTCAAACCTAGTGACATCGGCCATGCAGTGCTGGGTTCACAGACAGACGGTCCGTTTGCCAGGCTCCCTTCATTTTCAGCACTTCAGAGTAAGCTTGGTTCCAGCAACCAAATCATCACTCAGGTCTGTGTATTAACATCATCTTTATCTGTGTTTGTATCTTTGTTATCATCTATCCTTTTTAAAAGAGCTTTTATCCTTTTCAGTTGATGACATTCTCAATGAATCCCCATCCGTCTAATGACAGCATTTCGGGAACTGTTATCAGCATTACACTCAGCAATAGAACCTCAGAAATTAATGTGACAGGCCTGGCGGAGATGATAGAGGTACAGCCAACATGAGAACTGGGAATCATTACATCTATAGTGCTTTTTTAATGTAGGTGGCAACGGAACACAGAGTTTTGAAGAAAGACTAACTAGGGGAGGAATTACTCTTCTCCACTGTGCAGCTAAAGATCTTTGATGTGATGTAATATATCACTGGGGGCTATATTCTCACTTAATTAACATATACTGTATGTCCTTAAGATTGATTTGAATATTAATAATTACTTTAATTAATAACTTTCTGTCTCTGGTTCCTCCAGATCTTTCTACCCCGTTCAAATGCTTCAGCACTGACAAATAATACTGTTGTGCTGGAAGAAAACACAAGAACGCTGACCCAACTCAACGTCTCAGACCCTAATATGACCATTGTCTTCAGCGCGGAGCCCAGTGTCACTGTGTCACTGGTTCTTGTCTTATCTCAAGGGTCAACTGATAGCTCCACATCTTTCAACAGCACAGCTATTTTGAGCCCAAAAGGTAAATGTCACCATAAGCAGGTATTTAACTGCAACTGTGAACCCTGACCTCTGATTTCTCTCGCTTTTAACAACTGAGTCTAATATTTGTAAATAATTTCACATCTGTTATAATCCACTGAAAATCAAATCAAATCAGAACTCTTGATTCAGGTAGGCACTAATAACAACAAAAGCCCATAAAAAATACTTTCATTTAGCATGGTTTTCTTTACATGTATGTGCTCTTTATTCCCTCAGTGCACTAATATATCAAAATTGCTTAAAGTTTCATTCAATTATTTCTTGAATTATGGAGTCACATGTTAGCTGCTCTTTACTACAGGAGGCTATCGCTGGTTAATAACCCCACAGATGCTACAGCAGACTCCTGGGGTTTGGTATGTTGACACCAGACTCTTCAATTCCACTTGGGTGCCAGGCCTGACATTGTCGATCACTTCCTTTATGAGCAAATGCATGTACTGGGACACATATAGGATGTTATGGAGTACAGATGGCTGCAGGGTGAGTTTTCATTTGATATGGCTGCATTTCTTTTGCTTTGCATGTACAATGATGTTCTAGTAGCCCCAGTAATTGTATATCAGACTGTCTTTGTGCTGTTTTTGTCACAGCTGGGAGAGAAAACTACTCCAGAGCTTACGCACTGTTTGTGTAATCACCTTACTCTGTTTGCAAGCTCCTTCTTTGTAATGCCAAATTATGTGGAGATAGATCGCACAGCAGAGTTGTTTGCCACTGTGACTCAGAACTATGTGGTGCTGGCACTGCTGTGTGCTTTCTTCAGCCTCTACCTGGTCACTCTGCTGTGGGCATGCTATGCTGACCGCAGGGCACGCAATAAGGTCAGTCTCTCCAGTCAACTCTCATAAAATAGATCATTTTGCATGTGTTTTTCATTTTATATTATTATGAATTAAAGTGTGAAAAGCAATTCAGCTACCAGAAACTCACCAAGCCACATTACAACATGTATACTCTCGTCTTTATTATGAGCTTTATTAAGGCATGTCATCTCCCAGCATTAAGCCATAATGTCTTACATTTTGTCAGTTTTTTATTTTATTTATGCACTACAATGTCTTATGTTGAACTCTCAGAGGAAGATGACTCTGCTGGAGGACAACCACCCAGGTGCTCAGTACAACTACCTGATCAGTGTTCAAACTGGCCATCGCAAGAATGCTGGGACCTCTGCCACTGTAACAGTCTATTCTTACACTTGTTGAAAAGAGTAG